CACTTTTTATTGTACACATCACTTTCGCTTCTGCTTCTATAAACTTGTCTTGTTTGCACTGCCACAGTCAAGCTTACAATTATGGTACTGGGGATATCTGACATACGGCTGCAGAGGTTATACAAAAAAAGCTTTATAAACAAGTTGTCCTTCAGTGGGTACTGAAAGCAATGTCAATACTTTACTCTGGGTGGAGCCTTCAGTATGAATATTGTTTGTGTCTGAGGGAAGGAGGTATGCTGCTTTTCCTTTTAATTTTAACACCTTTCTCTTTTGATAGTACCTACATCTCCTCTATGAGCACTCAAAAGTTTTGTTTACTGACTGAAAGGAGCGTATAATTGAAAGACTTTGAGTATGGCAGGGCTACAGTTTGAGGCTATGTAACAAGACAAAGTTAAACTGAAACTAAATATATGGTTCTAGGGGTGACTGGTTAGCTCAGTTGGTTAGAACATGGTGCTGATAACACCAAGGTTCCTGGTTGGATCCCTGCATGGGCCACTATGAGCTGGGCCCTCCCTAAAAGAGTCAACTATGCCATTGTAGCATGAAAGCAACGTGTAACCAATGACCATGGCTGTTCCCCAATAACATTTAAAAATAAAATAAAAATTTTATACATATATATATATATATATATATGGTTGTCAGAAAAGTCATGACGTATTTTTTGTTTTTTCGTTGCAAAAAACGCATCATGACTTTTCCAACAACCCAATATATAGTTCTAGACAATTAACTAGTACTTTGTCCAACATACTTAACCAGCCACTCAGGAGAATGAGTGTTTCTATGACCCTTGCAAACACTTGCATCCATCCACATTATTTGCTTATATTTTATTCTAATTTGGTGTTTAATATATTCCAACCCTTTTCCCCTATAAAATATTCCTTGGGTCTGGATTTCTAAGCTTTAGATCCATGGTTTAGTTTTCACGTGACTTGAAGTTTCATAGTAGGATGATGGACACTTATAATGAAAATTATTCCTGGACCCTTGTGCTTTTATATCACCAAACATTTGTATTAGTTTACTATTTTGATTATTACAGATGACTCTGACATTGCTACAACGTATTTGATGTGCCTCTATTTCCTGCTGTTTTGCCTTTTAGTATCTTTTTTAAAAATTCTGAGGTTGTTCATGCAATTGGCTGATACTTCCTGATTTCAAGATATCTCTGTGGGCATTTCAGTATACAAAGGGTGCCAAAAAAATGTATACGCATTTTAAGAAAGGAAAAAAACTATTAAAATTGTAATATTCAATATATATTGATAACAAAAGATGAATACAAGTCATGTTTGACTTCTGTAATTACAAGAGGTGCTCAAAGTGGTTACCATCAGCATTCAGACACTTCTGATTATGGCGACTACTGCTTGAGCAATGTTGACAAAAGTGTCCACTTGTATACAATTTTTTTGGCACCCTTGGTATTTAAATATATTTCTATACTTTCATTCACTTGCATAAGCATGAATGTAGGACTTCCGAATGGCAGAATTCAAAAATGATATTTTTTTTTCTCTTAAGCTGAAGAGTCATTCACTTAAAAGTACATTTTTAAGATACAGTCTTTATTTGTAACTCTATAATGGAACTCTGGGAACAAGTGACACATAAGAAGTGACCCATAAAATATCTTTGAAAAGATGACTGATTTGTATACCTGAAGCTGATATAATGTTGCATGTTAGCTATAATTTTTAATAAAAACCTTTTTAAAAGACAAAAAAATGACTGATTTTCCATAAATCCTCATTTTAATATTTGAAATGTTACTTCATAAATTTGAGAACTAGGTCTCTAGATGAGAATAATTGAGGAACACAGAGGCACCTAGATCCAGGAATAATCTAGTGTGAGAAACACTAGATTTCTCACACTTACTCCTCTTCACTGAATTTTAACTCTTCACAAAAAAACATTTTTATCACTAGTAAAATGTTTTCATGCACTTATGATGACAGTATTTCCTGAATAAAGAAAGCTATTGAATGGCCTATTAAAAACAGACAATATTAGACTCATTTGGTGTTATTCTAGAAACTTTCTTTTAAATTCATGAAATAATTTTCTTTGGTACACTGTACAATCTCACCTCCCTACTCTTCTTCTCCACCTGGAATATGGTCCCATATCTTACACAGTCTTATCCATTTTTCAAGCCACATTTTCTCCAATAAGCTTTTCTGGGCTACTTTGTATTTTCATAGCTGTTCGTTCATACCTTTACCACAGATTTTTCTGAAGGGACACTTGTGTGCATGCTAATTTCTCTTTCCTGTAGGCCGGGGCCCAAATCTTGAGCCTTTTTTTGTATTTTTTAATTCCAATCCCTACTTCCTCCCAAGACTTAGCACAGAGATTTAGTTGTTTCATCTTCATATAACTTGGAGGAATGCCTCATACCTATCACAGAGATGGTCAATTACCCTCGTTCAATGGAGAGTGGGCACCCAATATTACTCAACACAAACAGGACAACCCTAGGTTTCTCTAGTAAATTAAGTCCCATAATCATGAGTTGTATCTATCAGCACTCAAATGTACTAGATACATTCACAATATTGAGAGACAGAGAAAAACCTGGTACTGTAGAAACGACTACCCAAATAGTTGACTGAATTTTTCAATACTCGTTGTGATTTTCTAATTAGACGTAGATATATACTTTTCCTTTCAGAAGAATACAAAATATTTGTTATGCTTGGTTAACTTAAAACCTTCACTAAGTAAAATACTTATAACATTTAAAATAAAATCATATTTTGCCAAATTCTATTCATCTGTGCAGGTTGATAACAGCTTCAGGAGAAGAGTGGGGGTAGGAGAGAAAGGAAGGAAGGAAGAAAACCTATCTTTGATACTGCTGTATATTGAGCAGGGGTGACTTAAAAGGAAACCGAGGAGTTGCTGATCTTCATTCTTTCCAATGCTAGTATGATGCTTCCATGTACTTACGTACAAATTATATGTAGTAATTTGACAATAGTTCTCTTCAGATTTCTGAAATAACTTCTCCTCCTCTTCTCCTCCTCCTCCTCCTTCTTCTTTTGCAACATGAGAAGTTTACATGAATATTAACCAATAGTTTAGATGAATTATAAAGACTACAAAGATAACGAGGAAACTTGCCAGAATCTATAACACTCAAAGTTCATCCCTCAGGATTGGATTTTTGTTGTCAGAGAAGTCTTGATATTATACCTGAGGGTTCTCAGACTTGTCGTAAGTTTAACTGAAGTGGGTGTTTTATTGTGCAGCATATCAGTTTAACATAACATACTGCATTAGATAAGCTCCTTAATTCCAGCTGCTCTACATTTTAAAACAAAACTGCCTAAAAACTCATGAGTAACACAGGAAGGAGGGAGAGAGAAAAGAGGGAAAGAAGGAGAAGAGAGACAGAAGGAGAGAGGGAGGGAAGAGAAGTAAAAAGGAAAGGAAGGAAGGAAGGAAGGAAGGAAGGAAGGAAGGAAGGAAGGAAGGAAAGAAGGAAGGGAGGAAGGAAGGAAGGAAGGAAGGAAACCTATTTGGATAGTGGCATCTGTTAAAAATACATGTGCACAAAATGAATGAGGTTGGTAATATAAAAAGAAACTTAAAAATTTCAAAGAGCATCTAAACAAATAAGTTAGTGTTAATATAAGTCCTTATTGCATTTCTTAACCTGCAAATTAATAGAGAAGACACTAGAAGTTTGAGTTTTAGGACTTGAGGGTTTACATCCAAATCAAAATGAACAATCCTCAGTCTAAAGTTAGGTTGTAATTGAAAAACTTTAGCACAAGAAAGGTTATATATGTCATTGTTGGCACAACCTCACAAATACAACATCCAACCAGAACAGTTGATTTTCCTTTCTGGATCCTTTCATTGTTTTCCAATCCTAAAAAGCATGACTGGATTTGTCTGGCTGCCAGCATGATTCAGGAGCAAAGGCCTTAATTTAAGTATATATAAAATAACTAATTTACTGGTATACAATTTAAGAAATAATAAAATTAGGATTTCCACATTCATGTCCACGTTGCCTACATTACCTAATTTAAAAAATATAATTAAAAAATGAACAAGAATCACATAGTGTTGCCCTTTTGTATTTCTTGATTTCTGTATGTTTACATAGGTTACATCAATATCGGGTTAACTAAACCTTTCACTTATTATTTCTAGAGTGTTTTGCAAACATTTTTTAACATGGAGAGTAAAAACCCAAGAGAAACAAAAGTAGTCCTATACAACTTTGTTTATCCAGATTTGTTTGATGTAAAATATACCAGTCTATAAAAAGCAGAAGGGCAGGGCCTGTGGACTGAAGAAATGGGGAGAGGCTGGTAAAAGGGTACAAACTTTCAGCAATAAGGTGAGTAAGGCCTGAGGATCCAAGGTAAAACATGGTGACTATAGTCAATAACACTGTACCAAATAATTGAAATTTATTAAGAGAGTAGAACTTAAATGTTCCCCTCCACACACACACACACACACACAAGATAAATATGTGAGGTGGTGGATATGTTAATTTACTAGATGGAAGGAACCCTTTCACAATGTATACGTGTGTCATATCATCATGATGTACACTTTAAATATCTTACCATTTCATTCTGTCAATTATACCTCACTAAAGCTTAAAAAAAAAACACTAGAAGGGAAACTTCATCTATAGCACTCTAGGACTTGATCAACTGCATGCTCTCAAATAATTACTTTATATGCAGAACCTGCTTCTAAAGCCTTATTTACTGTTACATTTTATTTTGGAACAAATAATCTGTAGTTTTTATGTACATTTAAAAACTTCCAGGTAGTTATTTAATTTATATAGGACTGCCCATGTTTGACTTTTAGAAATTAAGACCTTCGCAATGACTGGTTAGCTCAGTTGGTTAGAGCGTCATGCTGATAACACCAAGGTTGCCAGTTCGATCCCCACATGGGCTACTGCGAGCTGCATCCTCCTTAAAAGAGTCAACTATGCCATTGTAGCATGAAAGCAATGTGTAACTAATGACCATGGCTGTTCCCCAGTAAAGTTTAGGGAAAAAAAAAATTAAGACCTTCAGTTCCAAAAGACCATTGGAATATATGTGCACAAAGGAAAATAATAGTTGCCAAAATTCACTTTTAAGTGAATAGAATTTTTTTCAATCATGTCTTTTAACTTTTCAATCTGTGAAATGTAAAGACTTTGCTCTTTAATACAAAATCAGGGAGCTACAACACAAAAATAATTAAAAAGCCTATTGCTATAGGTTAATCACTTGAAATAGAAGCTATAAAATCTGAGTTAGTATCCCAGGTCTTCCATTTATCAGCCAGATCACAGTGTGAAAATAACGCAGCTTCTTCATTGGTAAAACGGGATTAATGACATTTGTTTATTTCATAACATTTTTCTAAGGATCAAATGAAATCATGAATCAAGAAGTGTTTTGTAAGCTATAGGGCATTAAACAAATTTAAGATTTTTAAGTAATTTTATCTAATTGAGAAATTATAATTTATGTAAGATATCATTCTTAACAGTGATTTTGACGATTAAGCACAGGTACCACTTTGGAACCATATATTTAACCAATGGGAAGTAGAGGATCGTGCTGGTCACCTCTTGGACAGGTTAACAACCTGAAAGAAAATGATCTACAGTTAGAGCCATGCCGTTTTAGGTGGACAGTGTGATCACCAGGACAATTCTTAATACAAAGGAAGTGGAAACATGAGTCTGAAGAGGGGAAATATCAAAGGTACTCTTTATCAAGAGTGAAACTTTGAAATCCATCTATTTAAGATTAATCACTATTCTTTCAGTTAAGCTGTTGTCATGTCTAACTTTCCCTGAGTAGAAAATAATCTACACTTCCAACTAAGTTATTCATGGTCCAATTTGTTCTCAGAATACTATAATAGGCTTTGTGAAGATAAGTTTTATAATAGGGATTTAACATAGTGAGAAGCCAAGACACAGAGGCCTTCAAACACAACAAATATATATACATATATAAACTGCTGTCCCCTCCCCCCTTCTTCCACTCTCCCTTGTCCCCCCTCCCCAAAGGACACTTAAAATCTAATTTTTACAAAGGATTCAGATGAAATGCCATCTCAACAACTTCATAGTACAATTGGTTTAGCTGCTGCAGTGTTGCTTTGGAGCCATTTTCAACAGTGCTGGGAAAAGGGGAAAACTTTGAGTAAAGTACCACTGGAAGAAGGAATGCTGAGAAGGGTTTTAAAAGTGAAACATTCAAAATCTTCCCTCTTGGCAGTTCAGTCTTGCTTGATGACCACATTTACATACCGAGTTCACAGGCTAGAACTCTCCCAGAGAACTCTACTTTCCTGGAGAAAATAAAACTTTCAGGGTGGCATCCTGAAAAAAATAAAGAAGGAAAAAGAAAGAGTCACTGATGATTTAAATACATTATTTGTATTTTCCAAATTAATTCAGAGACACTATTAGTTTACTCCCCTTTAGCTCTATACAAGATCTAACTTTCTATATTTATATTTTTTTAATCTCATTTGTAACCAAATCAGTGTATTAGCTATGCGTTTTACAAAGTAGCAAGGTACTTGGAGTGCTGCACAAGTTTATCTTCATTCCAGACTGCTTTTTTAAGGTTTCTTATTTCCCCCATTTTAAACATTTGAAGACACACACACAAATTATTCACAATACTAGAAACATCTACTGATGTATTTTAATAACCAGCTTCCCTTTTCTGTACATGTTGCATCCCTGCTGTACCTATTTTGTTGCAAGTCAGGCTATCTTATTTGCATGTATGTAACAAAGTATATAAAAGGATAAAGATGTGTGGTTTACTGAGTATTGATATTCAAAACAATTCTTTGATTAAGAAATCCTACAAATCACATAAGAATTCTGTAACAAATAAGCATTTAAAATTTTTTTCCACAAAGAAAATTCCCTTAAATTGTTTTTTAATGTGCTTTTAATGATTCCTAGCACTCACACCTCCTTGCTTGCTTTCCAAACTGTTTATACTGTCCCCAATAACACTCAGTGGAAAGCTGTCATTCCTGGCTAAATCCTTACTTAGGGTGGATGCTATGCCTCCGTGAGACAGGGTCAGGGGGTCAAAATCGATTTTGGAGGCCACCTGGAGAGTCCAGGCCATGCACTGACTCAAAAATTTTATATCTGAGCCGGAATAGTCCACCTCCCAGGGTCAGATCTGGCCTGACACTCCAACCGCAGGCTGGGGCATGCTAGACCGAGCTCAGGGAGAGGCCAGGGTTGTTGACCCTGCTAGCTGACCTCTTCAAACTTCAGGAGAATTTTTTTGGCAGTTACCACGGTGACTGGGTACTCTAAAAGCTTATCCTTCTTACTGAAAGGAGGAGAAAAAAATTAGGAAAAAAATATGTTAAAACCTACCTTGAAGAGATGCCTATCACAGTTAAAGTTAAAAAAAAAAACTTGAGAGAACTCTAAATTGTCTGTCTTTTCTATTCATTTTCATTGCTTTCCTAAAGAAATGGAATTTATAAGATGCCTCAAACAGCAAAATTTCACATTTGCAACAGATACTGCTTTTTTTTAAACCAATAGCTGACAACAATTTAAATAATCTGTTAAAATACTTTTTAAACAACGTAATTTACTTGGAAATTCTAATATCTCTCTGCTTTTCTTTGAGAATAATCAGCTTTGAAATAAGATCCATCATAAATGCTAATCTATTAGGAAAAAAATACTGTAACTAAATAATCATTTTTGCATGAAAAACACTTTTTTTTCTGAGAGAAAAATGTCCATTTTTGCGTGATTTGAAATAATAAAATTAGGAGAAAAGCAAGAGGCCATTATTATTATTATATATTTTGTCTTTAACCAAATGACTTAATAAAAAACATTCTAAAAATATTCCATATTTAATAATAACAAAAATGCTGGGGAGGGGGAGAAATACAGTGTGCCCTTTATTTTAGTATAATGCACATTAAAGCCAAAATAGCAATAGAATATTCTTCCATGTTAATACCAAACGCTGTCTTGTCCTAAAGTTCCACAACAATAGAAAGACTTATGAATTAAAATTTAATTCCTCGGGGGGTAAATCTATGCACATTATCAGCTTCTATTAGTTGATTTTTTGTGACAAATTGTAATACGAAATACTTTAAAATGGCTCCTATGTATGCCTTTAAATTAGATGAGAATTGCAATGTTTAGAAGTATAATATTCTTTAATCATAATAATACTTGCCTTTAAAAATACCTGTGAACTGTACAATGGCTTTTGGTAAAGTGAAATCATTGACTTTTAGTGTTGCTATTGCTCTGGCCCTCTAATTTTCTCATGGAAGTCTTGAAAGGACTTTCTCTAACATTTGGATGGTGTGTGTGTGTGTGTGTGTGTGTGTGTGTGTGTGTGTGTG